GATGACGAAGGCGAAGAGGTCGTCGATGAAGGTGTTGAGGGCTTTGTAGGTGAGCATCCGCCAGGGCAGGTGGGCGACCGACTTCAGCTTGTAGTTGATGAAGAGCTGGGGGGTCATGGTGATGAAACCTGGGGGAGAGGGAGGGAGGGGGGCTCCTCATTAGCATGACAAAGCCCCGTGGGCACCGGAGAGACCCCTCCTTGCCAGGAAGAGGGGAGCAGGAAGGAGCCCTGGAGGAATTGCCGTGGTCCCAGGCCCCTCCCCTCGCCAGGAGATTTGGGGGGCACTCACCAAAGGTCAGGAGGAAGCCGTAGAGCATGCTCAGCACCCACGAGTACCAGCCCTTGTGCTCCAGGTAGAGCAGGCTGTACACAGCATAACAGCCCAGCAAGGGGAACAGGATCCACGAGAGGTACCGGAAAGCCATCTGGGGGGAGGGGGTGGGGGCAGAGACACCCCAAAATCAGCCGGGAACGTGGCAGAGTCCCCACCCAGAGCTCAGACCACAGGGGGGACCTGCCCCCCGACTTACATCGTCGTACAACTCAGACCACGGGGGGGGACCCGCCCCCCGACTTACGTCGTCATACACCTTGGTGGAAGACTCGATGTAGGTGGATTTGTCTTTGAAGGTGACGCGGGGGAACACGCCTGCCACCTTGTTGTCACGGTCCAGCTGCCCGAGGAGGGGAGAGGGGTCAGGGAGCGGGATGGGGGCACCCCCAGAACCCCCCTCCCTCCCTGTGCCCACACCGCTGCCTACCCGGACGTCCATGACCTTTGTGATCTTCCAGAGGTCGATGAGGAGCCCGATGAAGACGCTGACCTGCACCACGAAGTTGGTTTCGTTGTCCAAGATGTAGAGGAGGACGACGAGGGACTGGAAGACGCCGAAGAAGACGGAGCGGACGGAGAGCCCCTCCAAAGACTGCCGGCTGTTCCAGAACTGGATGTCTGGGGGGAAGAGGCTCGAGTCATCACCCCACCAGAGCAGAAGGGGAGCCCTCCACGCTGGAGGCTTTGGAGAGCTCCAGCAGCACGAGCCCCAGCAGAGGGAGCAGGAGCAGCAGCTGGAGCCAAGCGGACACCGCAAAGCGCTGCCCGCCCTCAGCACAGGTCACGAGGACCCAGAAAACCCCAATTCTCCAGTTTTCTGCCCTCGGGTTGGCCCTGCAGCATGGAGCAGTGTGGCCCAAGGGCAGCAGGCAGAACACGCAGCACAGTGGCCACAGCCTGTGTGGGACACGGCCACCACCTTCGTGTCCTCATCCTCTCCAGAGCTCCGAGCTCCTGCTCACCGTTTTTGAACGCCAGGAACTCGAAGATGCTGTGCACGATGGAGATGATGATGGTCAGTGCCAGCAGGTAGGGGTTTGTCTCCAGGAGAGCAACCTGGAACAGGCAACAGAACCTTCCCTGAGGCTACTTCCAAGCCCTGGAACAGGCTGCCCGGGGCAGCCGTGGCGTCACCGTCCCTTAGATGCCTTTAAAAGTTGTGCAGAGGTGCTGCTGAGGGACACGGTTTAGCAGCAGACTTGGTGGAGTCAGATTAATGGCTGGACTCGAGGAACTAAAAGGGTCTTTTCCAACCTCAGTGATTCTATCCCACCTTCCTGCTGCCCAATGCACCCAGCAGGCCAGGGTGGACAGGGAGGATCCAGTCCTGGGGCACCAGGGCACCGAGGAGGACAGGGGCTTTGTCCTTACAGCCTCCAAGCTAAGACAGGGCCCAGGCAACCCTCCCTCCTAGCATCACAAAGCTAATTAATAAGGATTGATTGCAAGGAAGAACGGGCACCGAGGAGGACAGGGGCTTTGTCCTTACAGCCTCCAAGCTAAGACAGGGCCCAGGCAACCCTCCCTCCTAGCATCACAAAGCTAATTAATAAGGATTGATTGCAAGGAAGAACGGGCACCGAGGAGGACAGGGGCTTTGTCCTTACAGCCTCCAAGCTAAGACAGGGCCCAGGCAACCCTCCCTCCTAGCATCACAAAGCTAATTAATAAGGATTGATTGCAAGGCAGAACGGGCACCGAGGAGGACAGGGGCTTTGTCCTTACAGCCTCCAAGCTAAGACAGGGCCCAGGAAATTCCAGGGGGATTTGGTGCTCTGGGCAGCATAGAGCTGCCAGCGCCAGAGGGAGAGGGGGCAGAAGGAGAGGCGGAAGGGCAGGCGCTGCAGGCTCTCGTTGATGGGGAAATAGTCCTTCTGCAGGTTCCAGTAGTCGTTGAAGTAGAGGATGGGGTAGTAGTCGCCACTGACGGCGTCGAACTTCACATCTGGGGCCAGGGGAGAGAGCAGAGGGCTGAGCGGGCAACAGGGAGCCCCGAGAGCCATCACCGGCCCCAGCCCCCCGCAGCAGACACCCGGCAGAGCCCCCGCCCCGGCCCCAGCCCCCCGCAGCAGCCACCTGGCAGAGGCAGAGAGGCTGCTGACCCCGGCCCGAGAGGGGTGGGGGGTCGCTGGTGAGGGAGGAATGTTCCTCTGCTCCCCACGGGAGCCCCAGCACATCCTCCGAGCACAGGGGCCAGCCCCAGAGAGCCCCGGGGGAGCCCGGGCCCGTGCCAGCACTCACACTGGTCCAGGGGGGGTGGCACGCTGCCCTTCACCCAGGGCGTGTGGTCGTCCACCATGTTGATGGTCAGGTTGGGGTGCCAGTGGGAGATGACCTCCACGGGGCCGTAGTCCTCTGCCCTCTGCAACGAGAACACAGCCGCCAGCACGGCAGCTGGCATCCCTGCACCTCACCCCCCAAATCAGGCAGCAGAAGGGGGAGCAGGAGGGGGCTGAGCCACCCCCCCGACCCAGAAACACTGCCAGGAAACCATCCCCCTTCCTCTTCCCAGTCTGTGGAAGGGGATGGACGTGCCCCAGGCAGAAGGGGCAATCCTCTATGGCACAACAGCTTCACCAGAGGAAGGCATGCAAATATCCAAGAATTTGGGCAACCCACCCCAAACCCAGAGAAGGAAGAGGAGCCAGTTACCTTGATCATTTCTGGGTCTGCCTCCGTCTCGCCCGTCAGGAGGTTCTTGGTTTTCTGGAACCGCCGGCGCTTGTACTTGTTGATCACTGGAAGGGAAGAGGAGGGGAGGAGGTTTCCAGCTCTGCACAAGGTAGGGTGGGAAATCCAAGGAGGCTCCGGCCTGCCAGGACAGGCAGGAACTGACTGGAGACTGTTTTCCCTCACGCCACCCCCCAGAAGAACAAATGAACCCCCACGGTCTCACAGATTTTCCCATTCTCAAAGGGGAATGCTGCAGCTTGGGGACAGTGAACCAGGAACAGCCTGACCTTTGGATCACCACACTGCTGTTGGTGGAAAACACCAACCCAACACCAACACCAACCCCAACCCCAACCCCAACACCAACCCCAACCCCCCAGATGGAGCGTTCAGACCTTCCTGCCCTGCAGAAAGCCCTCAACAAGGCAACTCCTCCCTCTTCCCTATGCTGATGTGGGTCCACAACCCTCATACAGGTACAGGCCCTGCTCCTGCATAACATGGATGGGAACCACGAGCTCACAGAGATTTAAAAACATTTTTTCTCCATAGCCTGACAAACTCCAAGTGGAGGAAATGTCCAGCTAAGGAAGCAGCTGAGCCAGTGTGCTGGAGGCTGCGGGGAGTCAGACCCTCACCCTGACCTTCCCCTTCAGCACCTGCCTTTGCTGAGCCACAGCCCAAGCCCCCAGGGCTCCCCTTCCCACCCAGGAAGTGGGGTGCCCCTTCCCCTGGGGCTGCCACCTCCCCGTGGGCCGTACTTCGTGAGGTGTGGACGGTGGCCAGGCGCCGGTACAGGTTCTTCTGCCGGGGGTCGGGGTGGAAGCCACTCTTGGTGAAGTACACGTGGATGTAGATGG